CCATCATACACCACTCATCATACACCACTCATCATACACCACTCATCATACACCACTCATCATACACCACTTATCATACACCACTCATCATACACCGCTCATCATACACCACTCATCACACACCACTCATCATACACCACTGAGATGACTCAGATTTCGTGGCAGGCCAAGCACTTTGTGAACCTCCATGTGCAGACTTCGTGGCAGGCGCAGCACTTTGTGAACCTCCATGGCAAGATTTCGTGGCAGGTGCAGCACTTTGTGAACCTCCAGGTGCAGATTTCGTGGCAGGCACAGCACTTTGTGAACCTCCATGTGCAGATTTCGTAGCAGGCACAGCACTTTGTGAACCTCCATGTGCAGATTTCGTGGCAGGCACAGCACTTTGTGAACCTCCAGGTGCAGATTTCGTGGCAGGCGCAGCACTTTGTGAACCTCCATGTGCAGATTTCGTGGCAGGCACATCACTTTTTGAACCTCCAGGTGCAGATTTCGTGGCAGGCGCGATACAAAATGCGTTTTGGAGAGATAGCGGACGCACGAAATGCTGTATTTTTCAATAGAACCGGTGGCTTCAAACCTGGCAAGTCTAGCTCTGCGGAACGACGGGTGCGAGACGGTCTCGGGTCATTCTCGGATCATGCTCGGGCATGGTCGGAATCGTCCCTCCATTGGGATTAGAGTTTTCGCTTGTTTTTTGAAGTGCAGATTTCGTGGCAGGCACAGCACTTTGCGAACCTCCATGTGCAGATTTCGTGGCAGGTGCAGCACTTTGTGAACCTCCAGGTGCAGATTGCGTGGCAGGCACAGCACTTTGCGAACCTCCATGTGCAGATTTCGTGGCAGGCACAGCACTTTGTGAACCTCCATGTGCAGATTTCGTGGCAGGTGCAGCACTTTGTGAACCTCCATGTGCAGATTTCGTGGCAGGCGCAGCGCTTTGTGAACCTCCATGTGGAGGTTTCGTGGCTGAGAGCTGGCAACAAAGTCCGGAGCGCGTGCGTTTGACTGGGGGACGCGCGTGTTTGAGAGAACCGGAACACTCCTATAGGTCAATTTGTTCTCATAGGAAACTTCCGCCGCCGGCTTGCCCGGGAACTGCTTGTAGCTAAAGCCCTTTGCACTATTCATTTGGTTCCTAGATTACTTGGAAAATATGTAACTTGTCCTAAGTGGAGTGGTGCATCATTTGATTTTCAAAGCCGCTAAAGCCCTTGCAGGTTGCGTCTAAAGTTTGGATTGGCTACAATGAAAGTCTCATCGATAGCTCGGTCAAGGAGGTTGCTTGGCCAAGCTGTTTATGCCAAGCTTGCTTGTCAAAGCGGTTTATTCATGCAACATTTGATTGAAAATGCATGAGCATGTCTGACCTAGGCTCTTCTCAAGTATAGCTTCACTTGGGAGACGCGATTTCGAAGTGAATACGGAACTTCAGTTTGTATAAACGGCTGCTTCCCTCCAGACTGGCAGCATGCACGGGCGGATTCCAGAACAAACTGTCTCTAGCTTAGTTGACCCTCGCAGGCCACAGGATACTGACAGAGGTATAGCAGCATTTTAGTGGATGTATATGGTATAGCCAGTCAGAATCACTTAGTTGGGTTCGTTGTGTTGGGACAACATGTTTCAAGCGAGCTTGCAATGTTCGGGAGCACTCTCAAGTGAGCGTTTTCCGGAATGGAGACTACTACAGTAGCGATCCTGCAATGAACGGTGAGACCCACAATAGTGCTTACATTTCCTGAAGCTTTCAGCAGCTTTTGTACTGTAGTTGAATTTGAGGTGACTACGATGTGAGCGCAAACTTGCTGACTTACTTTGTGTTTATGCTGGTCCTGGACACTCTCTTTTTGATTTGGCCAATTGTCATGGCCCGCTGGGAGATGCACAAGGAGTGGCAGCAGCGTTCAGCCCAGTTTGAATCCATTTGTGGGTTTGTGACGCTCAGTGTGTAAAAGAAGTGGGGTTGCCTGAGCTTGTTCAGTTTGTGCCACGCTGTTCCTTGAAATGTCAGGAGTACAGAAAGGTGCAAGATTCAGATTCCGGCGAATCAGATTTGCCATATTCAATACTTCAATGGGAAGCCAAGAAGTTTCGCTACATCTACGATTCGTGGGGTGGCGATCGAGTGAATGACTTCTTAGATTTGGCTGTTGCTTATTCTGTTGTTGCTTGCTGGGGATGCATTGTGCCGCCTATTGCCACGCTAGCGCTCATCGTGCTGTTCATTTGCTTGCACCTCCGAATCTACAGGATTGGGCTTGAACTAAGTCGTAAATCTTTTGAGTTGACTTGGATAAAAAGAATTATATACGGTTTGTACCTAGCAGCTTTGTTTCTTACAGAGAGCAATTTCGCACACGCCCACATGTGCATATGTGGTACTAACCGACCATACAGTATATAGATTTATTTTAGTTTCTCTCTCTCTCTCTCTCCCTCTCTATAAACATGTGCACGTGATGCCATTAATAGCTTTCCATAGGCCTGCCGCAACAATTTCCATCCTGTGATTTGCGGTGCCTTGTCGGTCTTTGGAAAACGTATCCTTTTTGATCCAAAGGCACTGCTGCAACAAAAGTTAGTGTACACCCAGTGGAACACTGAATGCTGGCAGAACTGTCCTTGGAGCGACCTTGCGGTGAGTGTGGAGCTTTAGAGTACTTAGAAGTTCCCCAGCATCCAGGATGCCGGGAACAGGGGAGGAAAGTTTCTCAGGATTCATCTCAAGACCCAAGCACAGAGTTGGTGACACATGTTGTTGGAGGAAACCTTGAGTTTGGAATCCTGGGGAGCTGAAACTCATAACAACACAACAAGAAAGCAAACATTTGGAACATCAGTATTCTTGCTTTCTACATTTTGTTTGGGGTGTGCGTTTTCTTTTTCTTCTTTAGAGTTTCATTTCTATTTCTGACTTGCTTTTGTTTTACTGTACTTGTACTTTTTCTTCAGAAAGGTACGTTGTGGAGGCTGCATTCTTGCGGTGTTTTGAAAAGGTCAATGAATATCAGATTAACAGAACATGTATATTGATGGTTTAGTCTCTAACTCTATTTGATCAAACGCTTCTTACTTGAGTTTATGCCATGAGGGATAGCCAGGAGGACAATGCATCAATATCAATTTGAAAACTTCAGACTGCACCGCTAAATGTAAAAGGACGGGACAGGTTGAGTCTCAATGTGGGCTTCTGCCTTGGATATTCTTTTCATGGATCTGGGGGGGCGCCCCCCAAAAAGCATCTACTGTATATGCTTTTCTAAACTTATATATGGATTTTCTTTTTGGGCACCCCCCCCAAGGAAGAGAGCTGAAAGCTAGTTCTGGCACAGAAAGGCATCATATCCCTGGAGTCAAGTCCGTCTCATCCAGCCGGGTTCTTTGGATCCATTCAGTACGTCAATGCGTCCTTTGCGCCGGATACCTTGGAGTCGAGGCCATCCAAACCAACAGGATCTTTCAATCGATTCGGCAAGTCTTGTTTTGCAGCATACATAGCCCTTGACGGCCGGTCCTGGAAAAGGCATTTTATCCTGCATCAAACAGTGCTGTGACCACAGCTACTCTGCCTGCTTCAACGGCACAGCTCACATCTGCAAAGAGCTGCTGGGCATCATCCTTTGCCAACAGTTTTGGAAGTGTGCTATCCTTGAGGATTCCCATGTTGGACTTGATGTGCTCTGGTTTTCTTCAGGGTTGGATCTAGCAAGTGCTATGATATCAATGGCAGTCCATCATCTTATACATGTGTGCAAACCCAAACCTTGTTTCCTTGTGGGTTATGACATTACCCGCCTTGACGCCCATGGCATTGATGCCCATGGCATTCACATTGTTGAACATGGGCTTCCCTGCATCCCGCAATGCCAGGAAACGATACTATATCACCAGCTTCCACAAGCCCCTTTCTCAAACATTTCATTCACTTCAACCATGGTGTACTCCTTTACTTCACTCCCACTCTTGCCCCTTGAGCAAAGACAAGGATCTTTGCAGAAGGGCTGGGCCATCACTGCTACCCTTTTGGGTTTCAGCCAAGGCGTGCAAGAACTCTTGGCCTAAAATCAACATGGATGAGAAGTGTTTCTCAAAGCATGCCAAGGATTCAACAAGCTCACCGTCACATGTGCAAGAGACGCCCTGTGCAGCAATCTGAAACTGGTTCCAAGTGATGTGGCCCGTGACATTCTGGCAAGCAGGCGCAATGGTCTTTGCAAGTTCCATCTCTGACTGGGCTGAGTGGATCGGTTTGGATAGGTTCAAGGCTTGCTGCGCAGTGGTGCAGAACTGATGATGGTCTATGTACACTCATCTTTCACCATAGAACTCATATCAGAACCCTTTGGATGAAGTGAAGGAGACTGCAAAACAAGTTCTGGAGTAGGAATGCCCATGCAAAGCGGAGCGGTGTGCGAACCTCTACTCCTGTGACCTTTGGCGCAATCTCCAAGGACTCTGCAAGTGCAACCATGGGCTCCATGACAATTCAAAGATCCTATACAGAAAGTAGTAGGCTAGTCAACGCACTTGATCGAGAGGCTGAACTAAAGTCATACTTTGCTGCTCACCCCGCCTGCCCACCAAAGATTCAACAACGTATACGCATCAAAAACGCACAAAAACATCAAAATGGGGCCTTCACAGCCTGCTACTTGCCTTTTTTGTCGCTTTTTTGCTTTTGTTGTTTTTTTCGCTCTTGTGTTTGCCTCGGCTTTTGCATTCCTTTTAACTCGACGCTTCTGTTTTTGTTGCTTTGGATGCTTTGCTTCTCTTGCTTCTCTTTTGGCTGTTGTTGCTTCTATTGCTTCTTGTTGCTGTATGGCCTACTGCGCTGCACTTGTTTCTGTTCGGTCAGCTGTGTGATGCACTACTGCGGAGCTTGGGGTGAGGGCCAGGAGCCATTCCAACGCAGCAGCGCTTTTATGAGCCGCCCGACCGCAAAATTTAGCCACCAAAGGGCAACAGGTGCCATTGCAAGGTAGCATACTTTTTCCAAGATAGCTACAGGCTATGGGTTTTTTAACTTTTCAATGGTGTGGCTTTGGATCGGCATTTTGGTTCTGGTGCAGGTGCTGGCTCTGGATCGGCGTTCTGCGGGTGTTGCTGCCGTGCTGGTGCTGGTGCAGGTGCTGGGATGACGTCGTGTCACGCTAGGGATGACATCATGTCACGCCAGGGATGACGTCACGGCATGGCAGGGACGACGTATCATGTCATGCCAGGGGTGAAATCATGTCGTGCCAGTGGCGACCGTGGGCCGTGAGAGATCCGCAGGGCGGAAAAGGTGTGGGATACAATGACATGATGTCACTCCAGGGATGACATCATGTCGTGCCAGGGATCGCACCATGTCATGCCAGGGATGACATCATGCCATGCTAGGGATGACGTCATGTCGTGCCACGGCCCGCTTCAAGTCAAAGGTAGCGAGAGACCTGCAGGCGGAAAAGCGGAAAAAAACGAGGCATGACATCATGGCATGGCAGGGGCGATATCCTCTCTTATTTTTTCCGACAAATTGATGCATATATTGCCTTGTGGTATGCTTCGTTTCCTTTTGTGGATGACATGGTGTCATGCCAGGGACGACATCATGTCATGCCAGGGATGACATGCTGTCAGAATATTGTATTTGACTGTGCAGGTCCGGGCAGCTTTGGCTGGTCCTTGCCGATCTTGCAGTTTTACGTCTGTGTTGGGCAAAGCGGGCGCATTCAGCCGATAGATGTTGCGCATGTTGGTGGACTGGTTTGATGTTGCGTGCTGCGGTGACAGCCGTCCGTGTCGTGTCCTTTAAATTAAACCTATGCGCCCGCTATCTGGCATCTATGCCGGTGTAATTCTGAGTAAAATTTGGAGGAGTTGAGTAGCAGACCTTTTGTGAGCAACCCGAGGGCAGATTTTGGAGGATGAGGGTGCCGTTCCGACGTAGCAGATCTTTTCCATTTACGCGAGGGGAAAAATTAGAGGAGGCAGGGACCATTCCAATGTAGCATTGTTTGGATCTCGATTTGTTTTGGCCTTCCCCCCTCCAGATTTTTGGAGCGCTTCAACTAATGAAATTCGACGTTCTTTTTGGATCAAATTTTAAGTAAGAAGGCGCACAGCAAAGGCCTGTGCAGAGACGTGTTGCATCCAAGTTTGGCCAAAAAGAGATCAAGAGTTAGCGTAGGTGTGCCTGAACTGCTTTCCCTAAGTGTGATGATGCAGAGGTGCACATTTTGGTCATGTTCTTCTCAAGACCTTTTTTCCGTTTGTTTTGAAGAAACATTTCCTTTGAAGAAACCGTTCCTTTCTATTGCCCCCTATGCAAGGTCCAGAGGTGTTTTCCTGTTGGAATCTGAACTCTAAAGAATCTAATCTGAAACTGTTTCACATGTACCATGTCTCCATTCTGTACGTGTGAAGTGGGCGAGACATTTGCCAAGAGATTTGTTGTCATCCGCTGTTAGTGTAATGTATTCTCCGGAAGACCATTACACCTTAGAAAAAAACATAGCACGTCACAAATGCGCTGCGATGCCAATGCCAAGAGATGCTGAGGAAAGCAGAAAGGGTTCGCACACTGGGTGTTCTCTAGTGTGTCATTGACAAGACCAATAATTGAATTGATGCTGTTCGGCCTAGGTTGCCTTTAAGAGTCTCAAGGGCAAGGACAAAAGAGGGATGTTACCGTTTCATTTCGATACAAAAGAAATGCAAGGCTGCATCGCCTGCTCACAATAATACGGGGGGTGCTTTGCTAGTCCCTACGGCAAATGAGGAAGCGCTGCGAATTTGACGAACCAGTTGAAAAGAAAACTAAGACTAAGCTCTGAACTTGCTTTGTCCAAAGTTGATCCTTCAAATAATGGAGAGAGGAACTCCATACGTACACTTGGCTTTGATTGCAAATTGTATATTTATGTGTACCTTGTGCAGACATGGCCAGGAGGTGTTTACCTCTTTCATGCCAGATTCGTTGGACAGACCACACACCAAAAATGCTACCGGGTTTTGAAAGTTTTGAACTGTTTCTCAGCTTTTTGTCCGGCTTCTTTTCCTTTTCCCATCTGAAAGTTTCAATGTACTTTTTTTTCCAATTCCAGAGGATGCTGTATGTCACACGGCGTCCTTATCCACATGCCAGTGCTGGCCTTGGCATTTGGAAGTCCATCTTCCTTTACATAAACAAGACAGCTGTTGCCTGCAATGTGGCCCTGGCAGCCATTTTCTTTTATCCGATGCGTTTGCAAGGGCCTGGTGAGCAGTTGATCCTTTTTATTGTTGCAGAGCATGCGTTGCTCTTGCTGCAAGAAGCTGTCTACTTTTTCATTCCAGAAGAGCCGTCCGACGTCATTTCGATCAAGTATTTCAATCGACATGTCCTTGCGGTTCTGCAGCGACGTCGTGACCAAGAGAACCTCATACCGCTGCAAAAGAGTGTGTTGAATCACATTGATTTGACGCTGAATCCGGACGGCTTGAACAGTGAATGTTCTGATGACTCTTCAGAGGGTTCGCAGACGGCAAGAAGCTTACTTCCCTGATGACTCTACGTGATTTTGACCGCAATGCCTTCGTGAAAAAAAGGGGGATTTTGCCCTGTGCCCTCTCAACTTTCTGTGAACCTCAAGATTGGCAAAAGTGAAGTGAAGTCCTCAGATCTAGCGATTCCAACACATGCCAATCAATCAAAAGGGCTACAGTACGGAGTGGAGTGTTGCTAAATGCTGCTTTCTGACTGTTCAAACATGACGATTGTTTGAATGGTTTTGGCTCTGCGTGTCGCAGAAAGGGCCACATCAGGCAGGAGCAAACTGTTTTGTTTGTCGGTTGAGGGCATTGCTTCTTGCGGAAATCAATCTCACCAATGTGGCACAAAGGCTATGAGGGCTCCAACAATGAAGCCGCCTCTCGATCTAAAGTGCAGAGGCTTTGCTGCAAGATTGTGGATTCAAAATGAGTTGTCTTGATCGACCTTTAGTGTTTTCGAGTCTATATTATCTCAGAGAACGCAGCTTATTCTCATTTTGAACCTGGGAGGTGTGGAAGCACTCACCGTGCTTCTTCTTTGCTCAGAATGCGTTGCAGGCATTGGATTCAAGTATATTCAAGTGGTTTCAAGAGAGCCTCACAAAGGTTAAGTTTTCAATAAGATCTAGGAACCAAATCATTAGTGCGAGCGCATCTTCAAGGAAGCTCGTCAGTGAGCTATCCTGCGTCCTAGGTAGTAGCGTCTTACTGGCTACTAGCTGCCTCTGTTCCTTATTCCTTACTTAAGTAAGTAGGCGCCCACCTAATTAAGTAGGGAGGCGGGGGAGCAGGCTAAAGAAAAGATGGCCAGAGTTGTTGCGGTCTTTCATTCGGTGATCATGTTCGTTGCTTAATACTGTACTCTGTAGAAAGAGAGAGAGAGAGAGAGTGGTACACCGAGTCCAGTAGCGTTTGCGGCCACGTCCAAGAGGTTAGTGATTCTTATATGGGACAGAGGTGGTTCCACCAATTGTGGACAGAGATCCAGAATGTGCGCGCTACCGTACGCATCAAGAAACGAGTCTGCAATCGGATCTGCCAAGATCTACTGCGATCATGCCTGCTAAATACACGCTAATCTGAAACTGAGTTTTTCTGTTGACCGCTGTTCTGAAGCACCTACCTAGTGTAAAACTGGGTCGATCAGTCTCAGAGGAATCCTGGAGCGAATCTTTTCACATGTGCAGCTCTAAAGGTGCAACACATTAAAGCACAGAAACTGGTGTCTTGATGGGGTGTCGCTGTCGGAGGAATCAGCAGGTTGAATTGCCTTAAACGCATACAAGGCCTTTATTGCCAGATGCCATTGCGGTTCTTGTGCAGGCCTGACACATTCTATGCGAGGAACGCAGGGCCTAGTGCCTGTGCCCTTAACCTTGCTCCACACACATTGATATTTTCAAGACCTTTCGTTTAGCGTTGAAGTTCAAAGGACAGCAAAGTATGATCAGGTTTAGCAAGCACAAGTGAAGAGGTGAAGCTTCATTGGTTTTGCCACAATTGCTCGCGCCGCTGGAATCATAGGGGGGGGCTGGGGTGAAATCCTTGCACTTCAAAGCGGCTGCCCGGTGCGCAATTAGAAAGCCGAAAAGATTGCAGAACGTGAACACCCCCCAAGTATATAAGTAGGCAATCCGTTTTGGAAGAGTGCATGTATTGTGCAAGAGATTGGAATCAGAATTTGTCGCACCGTGTGGTGATGTTGTCCTTTCAATCATGGCCAACTGTTTGCATACTTTGTGTTTGGTTGCTTTGTTACTTTAAGCTTCATGGGTAAAAACATAATGTTTTTGAGGCTGCAGATGGCGGCCATCGAGGCAAGTGAATAAGTTGACATGCAGCGTCAAGGTTTTATCATTACCAGCAAACTTAGCCATGCAGAGTTTGTATTAATTAAATACCGGAGCTTTGGTTCAAACAGAGTTCAAGAGTGTACACTTGTTCTTTCGCATGTATATACAGCGCAGGATGACCCACAGATTTCAAGCAGCAAATCATAGCAGAAACTCGAGAAATTTCTGTTAGCAGGGTTTGGCAAGAGTGGATTGTATGTGTTAAAGCCCAATCTGCTTGCCGCAGGTTTCCTGTTCCATTCACATCTCAAAGACCAAGTTGGTCCATGTTTTGCAAGCTGCATTTCATGCAACAAAATAGTGTTTGACCTACTTGTGCTGCCCGAGCATGCGCTGATAAAGTCTCCTCTGCAGCCTTTGCTTCAGCGATTTTGCAGGGTCCTTGTTCCGACTGAAGAGAATCCTTTGTTTGATACATTGGGGCATCTACAAACATGTTCATGACAAATCCTTTTGGACGGCCTAGATATTTACCCCTGCGGATTGTTCCGCCGGCCCTTTTGACTGAGGGGAGGGGGCGAGGGGGGGGAAAGATCGAGGCCGTCCAAAAGGTCGGGCCTGTCTCGAAGTGGTGAGATCGGAAGAGCGTCGTGTAGGGAAGCGGCGATTCTCTCC